AACATAAACCGAACACAAATCATATTTAAACACATTCCATTTTAAATGAGCCAAATTTAAGCAAAAATAAAATAAAGCTCAAATCGAAGTTTGAACAGGTTGCTAATAAATGAGCTTGACAATAAACATGCGTGTACTAGTACTTGGCTTTGCTCGATCATTTGCAAACCTAACCCTCATCCTAAGGATAAATTATTAGGTGCGGAGTGTGGACCGTCCGCACACCATCCGCACAAGCACAGTACCAAGCGGTACCGAGTGGTACTTAGCTGGGTACCCTATACTTGTATGCGGACGGTCTCCCCATCCGCACTCCGCACCCCGCACCTAATAATCTCTCCATGCTAAGACACAAAAAGGCCCCATTTCAATATAGGACTTTTTAAATTTTTTTTAAATTAATTATAAGAATAAGTAATTGATGTAGTGGGATCGTCGGAATATGCGACCTGCAAGAAGGATTTGGGTCTTCCCAATCCAGGGAGAAGAAGAAGAAGAGCTCAAAGGCTTAAAAGGCTAATATTTCATTCAATGATCTCCCTATTACAAAACTTGCTATTTATAAAGCAAAAAGAGCATTCTAGAACAAAATGGATAAAGTACTCCTAAGGACTATCTTAGCTTAAAATGCATCGCATCATTCTCAAGGCTCAACTCCGTCGAGACGCATTATTGAAAAAGAGACTGTTGCAGAAGACAGATTCCCGGATCGAAGATTTTGTTCTCATCATTTGCATCTACCAATATTCCCTCAAATAACTCACCAACTTTTTTGACAAGCTCTTGAGGGACGTGATTCCCATCAATATCAAAGAGGGCATAGCTCTCAATGTCGTGATCAAATAATACATAATTGTCCCTTAGAACGAATTCTTTATCCCAACTAGAATCGCATAGTGAGCTCCTGATTTCATCCAACAAGTTGTTCCAACTCATAATATGCCTCTTAGGCATTTCACCGAACAATTTTTGGGCATCCTGAATCTCCCATGTTCTTAGCAATGCCCCAACCATAGAATTCCACGAAAACTCATCCTTCTCAGAACCAAACTTAAAGCAAGGGTATACCTCATATAAAATATGTATATATGAAAGGAGCTCAGAGCTGGTAGGTTCTTTGCACTTAAAAGCTTTGTAGATTGAACTACCAGTAGACGCTATCCTCGCAACGATGCCTTCTGAAAGGTAAGCTCCCAGACGTTGGATTGGTTCCTCTGATACTGAAACCACCTGTCTTAACTCGGTCATCAACAACTCTGCCATCATAAGATCGTCAACTTCTATGGCACAAGCACACGATATGATGCCATTCTTTAAGTCGCCTCTTATTATGTCCAATAATTTCCTCTTCTCAGGTTCGGGAAAGAGTTGCCTATCAAAGGTGCTTTCAAAACTACCACCACAAAGACCTTTGTTTTCAAAAAAACTTGAAAGAGGGCTCTTCTGAAATTGCAAAATCGACATCAGAGTAAAGTACTGACCCAGCAAAAGAAGTTGCAACCTCGACGTGCTGCAAATATTCTCCGATAAGCTCCCATTAAATCTGTCATTGCTTAGATCAAGCTTACTAAGGTTCCTAAACTTTAACAAAGATCTGGGCACTTCGCCTGTGAAAATTTTATCTAAAAATGTAGGGCGTGGTACTGATATGGAACATAGGCCTGGCGTTGGCATCACTTGAGATGATTCCTGCGTCTGAGTCGTCGTTACAGAGACATTGAGAGAGCGGGGTATCCAGTTATGCATGAGCAAAGGCTCCGAAGTCACGCTGCTTGGGAGTTGACTGAAGTCACGCAAAAACATGCTATGAGGCCATTCATCGCCGGATGCAAGGGCCAGCAAAGACCCAATCGTTGGTGAAGATTGCACAATCACTCCATCGTCGGATCCTCTTCTGGAAGAGGCCTGGCGGAATGCCAGCGATACCCTAGCCATCGATCGATTTCGGCACGGAGACATTGGGAGCGGGGCGATATTATCGGAGTCGAGAGAGAGACGGGGAAGATCCTCGTGGTCAGCATCAGAGTCTCGTTGGAGGATCGCCGGCTGGGGTTTCGATTGCAAAATGTCGACAGAGTTTGGAAGTTCGCCGGCTGGAGTTCCGGTTGCAGGAAGAGGAGCAAATCCGTCTTCCATGTTCGCATCGTCGGATGCTGTTGGATCGGAAAGTGAAAGCAGGGTCGGGCGCAAAATCGCGAGAGCTGAGATGGGGCGATTCGACTCTGATATCGCCTTCAAGGAAAATAGCATCGCTATAGTCTGAGCTGATTGAAGTCTGGTAAGAGTAGATCCGAGAGTGGATGAGCTCAGTGCATTCTGGATACGCCGGATCTTGAATGTCCTCTGCAAAACTATTGACGCCGGTGATGCCGCTGCTGTGGTCATATGGAATCGAAGCATCAGCTGTATGTGTCGGATATGGTATCTGCGAGTCCAACGGAATGGAATACTGGCGCACTAGGCGTGTTCCGATGAGCTGAGCAGCGGTGGAATCAACATCTGTCTCCCGGTCTAGCAAGTATGAACTGGAACCTTCGTCATCGTTCATATCCCCATTCGAAACTATATGGGTTTCTGATTGCTCCATGTCATCTTCGAATCTGCACTTGCTGTCGGAAGCAAACGGTAGCACATAGTTGGTCTTGTCGGGTCGTGTGAGGTCGGTTTGAACGCAAGAGGTGTGCAGAACTGAAGGTGAAAGCGGGGTTGGGGCCGCCGGAGGTGTCTTTCGCGGCCTGGTACTGGGTCCACGCATTGGCGGACATGATCCGGTCGTGTGGAGAGCCGAGAAAGCCGCAGGTTCCCCGTGTACACAGCAGGCGACGGTTTGTGGGTTGATTGCAGAAGCGAGCAAATCTGATCGGAATAGATCGAGCTTAACACCAGGAGCACTCTCGCGAGAGCCAAGTGGGTTCTTTGTCTGCTGGGGTCGGAGTGAAGTGGGCGGCAACGGAGGAGGTTTGGGAACACGGGTCGGGCAGTGAAGCGGAGGGGGATCACGCCATTTGAGCGGAAGCTCGAGCGGGGTGTAGTCGTCAATGACGATGGAAGAAGGGCGGGATTGATGGCTTCTGCGTGAAGCGGACAAGGAGATCGTAGAAGAGGAATGCCTCGGTATGGTTGCCGACGACATCCTCATCCTCCTTATTGACCGAAGGGTTTCGCGAATCCGATCAAGGTTTCTATCTACCTGATCGAGCGACTTCTTCGATTGAGCTTGATAGAAGGCGATCCGGCTTCGAGCATCGTTGACAGCCCACCTTCCTTGGCGTCGATCGTCGTCGACTGCCAATCTTGTTTTGCGGCTTCGATCATCGCCGATAGCCGACCTTCTGCAATACATCGATCTTCGCAAGCTCCAGGCTCTGATACCAACTGATGTAGTGGGATCGTCAGAAGATGCGACCTGCAAGAAGGATTTGGGTCTTCCCAATCCAGGGAGAAGAAGAAGAAGAGCTCAAAGACTTCAAAGGCTAATATTTCATTCAATGATCTCCCTATTACAAAACTTGCTATTTATAAAGCAAAAGGAGCATTCTAGAACAAAATGGATAAAGTACTCCTAAGGACTATCTTAGCTTAAAATGCACCGCATCAATAGGCCTAGGCTCGCTAAGCATCTCAACAAGATTTATGGGCTTTCTAGATTAAAATCTTGTGATAATCTCAAATTGGCTTGTACTTGTAGAGTTATTACCAAATGCATTGTCAATAAATTTAACCATAGATAATAAGAAATTCCATTGAGATACACAGTCCTTAATCAGACAACATAATCGATCACCTAAACTTCTATTTACTATTTTAATTTGTCCATTAGTTTTGTGGTGATAAATAGTTGAAGGTTTAATATGTTTCCACATTTTTTAAAATTTCTTAAAATAGATCATACTTTTACATCTTGATAAAAAAAAGTTTTAGATAATCATGCAATTTAGACA